TATATATATATATATATATATATATATATAATTAAAACTCTTAAACTTAATTATAATTATAAATTAAAATACGTCTTTTTATATATACAATATTTATTATTTACTATCCGTATTCATAGTCTGATCTTAGGTACGATCTTGAATCAATCAATTGAATACAAGAACAGATTATGAATAAAAATCTATGTGTTTATGAAGCTTTGTGGTTGCGATGAAACCATATTTATCACGTATTTATTGAAATCCTATAATATTTTGAAAAATCACGAATTCACTTTACATACTTGTTTGTAAAAGAAGTTACAATCGAGTATAGGATCAAGTACGTCCCAAATGGTGTCAGACCGATGATTGTTCTCTACATTTTTCTCTACATTTACACAGATTTAGAAATTTCAGTTATTTAACGCGCGCTTGTCACATGAATCTTTTGGTACGATAATTTTCGTAGTCGGAATGAAAACAATTTCTTATTTCGCTCCTTCGTTTCTGCGAAATTATTTAGAAAGTTATCTCGCTCGTCGTGATTGTAGCATATTCGTGAGATACGTGTGTCATACATAATATTATTATACGTCGTATCTATATTAATATCTTTAATTATTAACATTATTGTTATTATACCGCGTGTTGTTATTATACTATTGCTTTTTAACCGGCCATAATGTCAACGTAGACTTCTTCCTCGCTAAGCTTAACGTCGCAAAATAGGGTGCACTTTGGCTATTTGGAAGAGAGACACAGCCGTTACCCGGGTCATTCCGACTGTTCCATATTTTCGTACGAAATGGCGAATATGCATGTGCACTCTATATTAGTCGTCGTGCTATTACTAATGTTAAATTGCATTGTAGTGGCGCATCTTTCATTTTGCAGAGAACTCGCGCTCGTTGCGTCACGTTATAACGCGCACACGCGCGTGTCGACTATTTTACAATTATCTTAAAACCTACACTTAAAACGCTGAAATAGAATTATATTTGGAATGTTATGTGTACATATTTCGTTACATTTACGTATTTACACATTACCGTTCGTACGCGAACTATGACTATATATTACTTCATAACGCTACCGATCCGATTCACGCGGGACTCAGCAAAATAAGTAGAAACATATTTCACACTGACCTACACTGAAAAAGAAAATTGCTACGTTCAAGTAAATATTTGCCAAGGAGTATTGGAGTAGTTTATTTTATTCGGATTAAGTAAATATCACTCGAATGTAGCCCTTTTTTTCTTTCAACGTGCTACATTCAAGTGATATTTACTTAATCCAGATAAAATAAACTACTTCAATATTTCTCAGCAAATATTGAACGTATTTTTTTTTCAATGTATCAACTGAAAAAAACGAGTTGATGCTCGTCAATGCAAAAGGGGAAGAAACGGACGAATGAACTCGCCTCTTCTCATTTCTCGCTACTGGGGTGGCACGTTTTTCATTCGAAAATGACCCAGTTAACGCTATGACTGCCACAATAACATCAGGGAAGCTTTCAACGGACGCCGTTTTTAACAGCGTGTTATATTAATTTCGGTCAATTCTCAATTCACTCTGCTTATTATTTGGCGAAACACTCGCCGAAAGGAAACCCGATGCGAGATAACTCGCGTATTTAACAGAGTCGATGTATTAACGGGTCGAAGTCGACATAACGCAGGCGCACCATTTGAAAATCCATTTCTCCCCATTGAATTCGTCGACCGCGTACAAACGTGCATCCCTGCGTACGTACGAACGATAGTTGGCCGCAGGTTCTCCGCCTCCTATTAAATTACGCTAATTGTCATCATTGCGTAGTTGCCCAGCGCGAGCCATTCGATTTGGTTTTCAGCATGGATTTCGGAAACAAGCTGTCGTGCTTGAACAGCTATCTCTCTCCTGTTGCAGCAATAGTAATGGCAAGATACGATCTTATCGCTTATCACATTTATCTTGGTCGGCGATCGATCGTTTTATTTGTACAGGTGCGGATTTTTAATTTGTATACTGCGAAACATGACTTTCTATGCAGTACGCTGCGCAGACTGGGCTCGGAATTTCTCCACGTCGTTACATTTTTCTCCCGCGACAATATATACACATATATATTTATATATTTTTTTTTCTCATACTTTTCGCACATGCACGAGACGTATATATATATTTATGTATTTTATACATCTCATGAGAGAGAAACTGCTACGTGTATTAACGTACACTCCGATCTCGATTCGTTACCCAGTCCGACCGAGTTTCTTGGACCAACGACGTCGACAATCACATTTGATTTAACGCTATGACTAAAAACGATAAACGACGTGCATAGAGCTTCGTTATACTTGAGCAATTATTTGAGCAGAACGTCAATCACACAATTCACGTATAATATTTCCTCGTACTTGCATCGCGGAAACTTTCGCAAAAAGTCCCCCGTTCCGTCAGTTTCGCGCCTTACCATTGTACTTGAATTTTTGTTCTTGGCTTTGTTCCTTTCTCGTCCAATATCGCAGAAAATCGAAATCTTCATTATTATCGTAATTTTACTATCAAATATCTGACTTTTCGCGGAATATCCGATTTTGTACGCGCTATTGCAATCTTTCGACTTTTTTTTTTGGTTACTTTCTACGCTGTCCAATTCGTTCCTCATCGTTTCCACTTTCGTTTTGTCGCGATTATGTACAAAAGAAAATTTGGTATCAAAATTCCCAGAGAGGGTATACACCCCCTCTGGGCACGATACGTCGTGCCGTGAATAAATTAGGATTAAAAAATTAAAATGCGATTGTTCGTCTCCACGAAAAGACGGCTCGATATCAACAGGATACTCCAGAAACGTCGATCTCCCGATATCTTTCGATACGAGACGCTGATATGCAGCTCGCTCGATAACGTGTAAGATACCCCGATAACACTAACGAAATATTTCTGTCCTAAACGTTATACTTATAAATAGCGCCGCGCGAGAATCTATATCTTTCACGCGTGTTTTGAAAAATCGCAATTAATACACTGACAGCCGACAATGTTGCGCGGAATATCGTGCGCGGCCTGTAAAATCTCGTTAAAATAACAAACAATATTATTCGCTTATCGAAATTGCCCGAACAACGTGTAAAAATTCAAACGGTTCAAATGAAACATATTGATATTACGACACAAATTTTCACTGCAATTTGCGTTGAAAACGCAATTTTATTGGCCTACCGGCTAAACAGCTCCAATGTGTAAAAAGCCTTACTTTATCTTACTTGGCTGTCAATGCGTCGAGATGTGAGCCTTCCAGCTTCGCAAGGAAATCTAGGTTGGATCTACGACGAATGTAGTAATTCTTTAGCCTTTCGCGCTAAGTAATAAAATATATTACATAATTTCCGTCAAAAAGCGTTTCCCGCTCTTAAAAGCCGATCACTGTTCAGTCAGTCCTTCACCACGCGAAAATCAACAAACTAATAGATCAGAATTAGAAGCTATTTTTCAACTCTCGATCCCCGGAATTAAAAAAAAATTTGAGTTCGTTTCCCTGAGCAGAAATTTCGACTTATAAACGGGAGAGGCTGTGTGAACGTTCACTCGGCCTCTTAAAATTACAAGAACGGATTGGGGGACAATTGCGGAATTAGAAATTATATAAAAGCGCGTCACGTTTTAATGCGTCACCACGACTTTTGGAAACATTGGGNGGATTGCGTAAAATTGTCAGAAATTACATTTTATTTCTCAGAGCCAAAGGCTCACCGATCGCTGGTTCGCGGACCCGCATTCCTTTACTCACGCTGACCGACGCGACGCAGACGCGTCGCAGACGTGGCCACGAGGGTCCGATATAAACAGGTACGTCCGAGCTTCGCGTACATACATGGCACACTCACTGAACGACGGGCCGCGTAACGACCTTTCACCGATGCTGCAGCGAAGAGTACCGGGCGCGAAATTACAAGCTCTGGGCGTCATCTTGCTCATTGCACGCTCAACGGAGCTTCGCCGGGCAAGCTCAGCAGGCTTGGCGGGCTCAGCCCGTCGTCCTCTAGTCAGAAGGACGGCTCGGTCTCCAGGCTCGGTTCCTGCTTGAAAAGCCTGTAGCTGGACACCGTCGCGTCGTCCTGCACAGTGATGGGCGTGAGGTCTCTCAGGATCATCACTGGGCTGCCGGCCGTGGTCATCATGTGATCCTGCGGCGAGCCGGCGTTGGCGGGGGTCAACGGGCTGGTGGGGCTGCCGTTGCTGCTGACGTAGCTACCGGCCGGGTTCGCGATCGACACGGAAGATGCGGCGGTGCCGTTCATCTCTGTGGTGGTGCCGCCCAGCAGCATCTCCTGCAGCAGAGTATCCACGTGCACCACCCCGAACAGCTTGACGAAGTGCACCTGCTCGATCATCTGCCACGTGATTGACTGCAGGGCCGGCAGCATCAACAGGATCTCGCCGAAGCGTCCACGGCTGTGATACTGCCGGTCACTGATGTAATCTTCGAGGTTCATCTGGATCTGGGTGCGCATATGCTTCACCTTGCCGGCCTCACTCAAGCCCTGCGCGTCTGCGAACGAGAACGGTACAATATGTACGCGCCGGCGCGAGATGAGGTGTAATAACTCGATCTAAGGAGCGGCCGATCGACACCCGTCGTCCCGAGATGCGGATTATTAAACCTGCCGCAATTATTTTTCACCCACGAATGCTCACCGATGCGTCTCACGGATATATACTAATTTTCCCTATTATTTTCCTCTGCTCTTTGAAACAATTTTTCTTTATATCTATATATATATATATATATAGAAGATATAATAATATGTGAAGAAAACAAGATAAAAAACGAAAGCAAACAATTTCTATAAATAATAGGATTAATTAACGGGAAACTCTTTTCCTCGCAATCTCTATAAATAAGCGACGAGGTTCGCGGTTGTTTATGAATATAGTCGGAGCGAAACCCGCGCGCCGTGATTGCCACAACGAGATCGAATTGAACGCGAGCGCGGAGATTATTGAAAGGCGAATCGCATTCGATCTATATTAGCAGAATGCATTTATGTATCTTATTGCGCGCGCGCGCGACGACGGCAACAACTTTTTCTCTCCACTCCGCTCGATCGTTCTCGACCTCGCGATTACGCCGTCCGCCGCGCGATTCTCCTCTCTCGTTAGCGGAAAATCACTCACGCGAGTCGAAGAAGACGATGGCTTTGAGGCAGGCGAATTCCGTGTCGTCGATCTGGACGTCGTTCATTGGCTTCACCAGCTCGTCCATCACCCTGGCGCCGACCCTGCTGATGTCCACGTCCTGAGTGCGGCCCTCTGAACAAAATGCCATTACTGAAAGAGACGATTATACCGTTCGGCGGCGCGTCGTGGGAAAACTGAGTCCAGTAAACGAGAATGAAACACGCCCGACACTGTCGACGCTTCAGCATGCATTTAGTGCCACCGAGAGGGAGAGAAAAAAAGGGGGGG